CTGCATTTACAGATTACTTTTCTTAGATAGTGACCTGAGCGGGACAATGCAGGGATTAGTTTGCCTCCAGCAGTGAACTAATCACAACCAGCATGAGTTTTAATATTCTTATAAATATTTACTAATTAATAACAGGCCCCAAGCCGGTGGGGGGGTGGGGTGGGGGGTCAAAAGAACCTCCCTCTTTGCCGGTAAAATTCTATCTAGGTGCACAGAGGCTTCATGGTAAAAGGTTCACTTTTTCAGAAAAATAACCCCCTTTTGAAATTGCTGGCTACAGGTCTGAATTAGCTATACGTAGAATACGTATGAGATGATCAACATATTTCAATAGTTCTGAAAAATTAACTAGCTGTTCAACAAGACAGTATGGCTTATATTGCATTGTGTCTACGACTAACACTGCATAAAAAAAAACAAAAACAAAAAAAAAAAAAACAATCTCAAAATATTTTAATCTATAAACTTTATCATAGTAATTAAGAAAGTTTTAACAAACAAGAATAGCAGTGATTAAAATAAGTGAGTGTCTTCATTAATATCTTATCTCATTAGCTTTTATGTACATGATTTAAAATACATACAAAGAAAATCATGGCACCTCATTTTAAGGCAAAGAGACAATGCTTGGTACCAAAACCAGCAACAAATGTTGATCAAAAATGTAATTTAAAAAAATAATAAAAATAGTAATAAATAATAAGAAATAGACGAATGAGGCAGTTAGACCCCTCCCCCAATAATAAATAATATATATACATGAATACTTAACCTTTCCTAACAATACCATGTGCATGCTGTTGGTGAACATCAAAACATATTGCATTGGCACCAGCTGGTGTTATAACTATGTATTTTTTGGAACACTAACATGATTGTCATAATCAATGCAAGGTTGAAATTAAAGAGGATTTTTTTTTTCAAATTTTGAAAAGTTTCAGTTTCAATTGATTTTAATCTCCACTAACTACACAGTGGTGGTGGTGGTTTTTGGTGGTGGTGGTGGTTGGTGGTGGTGATGGTGGTGGTTGGTGTGGGGTCGTCAAGCTCTGGACACCAGGCTGCAACGGACACTGAGTAAACAGAGGGAATTGGGAAACCGACTCCTGAAGAACAGAGGGCTGTGGATGAGTTTAGAGCTCAACTGCAACTGTAGAGATATGCGAGGTGATACTGGTGCTTGAGGTGGCAGTGGTGATCCAAAAAAGGCACTGGAGAGTTACCAAATGATATCAAGTGTGTCAGCAGAGGAGGCCGACTCACTTCTGAAGGTTTTTGGATAGGATTCTCACTGCCACCTGTTAGGGTTGCTAACTTTTCTTTCTCCATTTAGCAATTAACTAAATTAGAACTGTACTGCGTTTATGTCAATATGTATGATTTTAAAATTGCAGACAATGGAATGAAATATCACAAATGAATTTCATCTGGGAATCCTTAAGAGAGGCCAGGGGGGACATTTTAGAATTTGTAGTGGCCTCTAAGCCTGGGAGCGGAAATGGTGCACGCACATGTGCAGATGACTCTTTTTCAATGCTAGATCTCTAGCAACAGAGTGTATACACCTAACTGCAGGTAACCACATCCCAACAGATTGTGCATTAAGTTGTGCATTATTATTACTAGTGTTTCTACTCCTCTTCCATTGTAGGATAAATTGCGCTGAAGATATTCCACAAGATATTATGGACGTTGCTTGCAGTATGGTTGTACCGCAGATGTCAACAATAGAAAAGGTCAAGCTGATGCATAGATAAGTATGTGTAAAAGCATTATTTAAAGGAAAAGTAACAAAAGTAATAATCGTACAAGACCATCACCGTTGGCAACCCCAAACTCCACAGGGTATTCCGCAAACGCCTTGTTGCAGATTTGATTAGTTCAGTGCATGGAAATTTGGACCCCTCTAGAAGTGTTGGCAGACCCAGTACAAGTGATGATTCTCTATTTAGACTTATGGGCCAACACTTTCCTATTAAAATAACAGCAACAGGAAAAAGGAAAAACATAACAAGAGCTTGTGTGGTGGGTTCTACAGCAGAGCTGCACCAATTTCCTGCTGGGCAAAAAAGAAAGAGAACTGGAAAAGAAGCCAGTTACAATTGTGATAAATGTGACAAAGCACTTTTTGTTGATCCTTGTTTCAAGCTTTTTCATACTCAAAAGGACTTTATAAAAGCATAGGCATCTTTTAAAAACAGACATGCTTGCAACTTTGTAACATTTTTGTTTTTATGTAATTCCAGAATGCAGAATCACTTCTCAAGGGAGCAGATTTGGGTTTGGTCAACCAATCCCTCAGCCAGCCTTTTAGGACTTACAAAGCGACTTCTGCGAGAATGAAGAAAAAGTGAGGAAAGCTTAGGCGATGTTCCACTTTGAAAAATGGATTGTTTTAGGATCTGCACGCTTTCTTACGTTTACCACAGTAAGCTACTTCGACAAGACAGGCCAAAATATTCTATACGTAAAGAGTCTTTTTCTAAACATCTGTTTTACTCTCTACTTTCCTGTTGGCAATGCCAAATCCTGCCAGGTGTATCAGAGAATATCTGCTGCCATGAAGTGGAAGTGGTACAGAACAAAAGCAAAGAGGAGAATGTGCAGTGCATTCCTGTTGGCATTGCAAAATTCTGCCAGGCGTAACAGAGAATATCTGCTGCCATGAAGTGGAAGTGGTACAAAACAAAAACAAAAAGGAGAATGTGCAGTGCATTCCTGTTGGCATTGCCAAATCCTGCCAAGTGCATCAGAGAATATCTGAAAAAACATGGCGGCTCCCTGAGTATTGCACCCTTTTGGTCGGGGCTCCTAATGAACAATCACCACCATGATACAAACTCCTCTGCTGAATACTGGTTCAAGATCGTGAAATGACATACTGCAGTGAAAAACAAGAATGCAACCTAGCCTATTCATCAGAAGGCTACACGCCAATGTTACCACCGCCCAATTATTCACGTTACACCAACAATACTCAACAGATACCATACCTACAGTATGCCCCACACATGCAAGCACAAGACATGCAGTCAAAACATACAATCTACAACAACAACATACACAACACAGCTTGAGTACAAGCAGCTCCGCAACCTGTCGACATGAAAGAAATTTTGGACATGAAAGTTAAGGCAAGCGGGCCCCAGAGGTTTTGCATAATCTGATGGAAAGATTATATACCAAAGAAGAAAGAATCAACAAAAACAAAAACATGACAGGTTCTTCTGAGGGTTGAGAAAAAAATGAACACTAATGCAAAGAGCGTTTGGAAATAATACGGCAATGCCAGGAGGCAATCTATACAATAAGAACTGCAGATTGCTACAGAAGCTGCATTTCTGCAATGAACCAAGCAAACAGAGGACTGTGATGCTATGAAGCATGAAAGCTTTGTGAAGATTACCATTAATACTAAAATTGTGCAGTCGGAACTTTCAAGCGTTTATTCCTTGCTCAGAGGGGAATGAGTCATTTTCTGAAGAAGAGGGTGATTTCTTGAGTTTAAACGATGTGTTATATCAATTTATGTACCTTTATAAGATTTTATGTTACATGCAGCATGTGTAGCTACCAAAATTACAGTGCGAGAAAGATAACTGACTATGATGGTGCCTGAAAATAAATACGATACCAATTGCGATGCGATACAAATTGCGATGTTCTTATTTTAAGAAGTGTTTTTATCTCAATATATTAATATTAAAATGTATTATATATATATTAGGCCATGCGTTTCGGTTGTACTGAAATGAGAATACAAATCCCTTCATCCCTTGTTTTAAGCAGCAAAACATACTCAAATTACAAGAGCCATAACACATTTAAAGCTCTCATTGGTATTGCCACAAACGGTGCTATATCATTTATTTCATCTTTGTTGAGTAGCTACACTTCTGCTACAGAAATCACTTGATTACTTGGAATACTGCACCTTTTAGGAGTGAGTGTAATGACTGACAAAGGCAGCCAGTTTAGAGTAAAAAAAGTGTCTCTCAACATACCCCCTTTTCGCTTCAACTCACAGTTTACCTTTGGACAAGTAGCCAATACCAAGGGAATAGCATTTCAGAAAGACATCCCTAACCAGGCAGCATCTATAAGTGTACTGAAACATTCTCATGGAGTTGTCACCCCAGTCATGGCAGGAGCTCTACAGACAATCGCCAATGAGACAGTGAGGCCAACAAAAATGTTAGCTATAAAGAGATATCATATTCCCCAATCATTGTCAGTTGAGCAAAATATTTGTGACGTCATCTGAGTGACTCCTCAGACGGGTCGTCAGATCTGAAACACATGGGTAGACATTGAATTGTCAGTGGGTGCTCAAATACTAATGAACATGCCAGTATTTGGATACACACATACCCAAAAATAAAGCAGTTACTCAGAAATGGAAAAAACATTGTCAATTTGACAAGAGTATGGGATTTAGAGTTAAAAGATGCTGTGACAAACCACTCGGCGATCTGTAGCGCTCATTTCAAGGAGGCTACTTCAATGAGGGACAGCAAATGAAGACTCGGCTTGGTTTGGCTCAGTAAGTTCATAATTTTGGTCACTTTTACCTTAATCTTATGTTTCCTTTTATTCGAGACTTATTTATTATCTTTTTTATATCTTGATAAATATATACATATTAACTTCAGTTGTATGGGTGGTGGTGCAATTAGTGCTGGATGGGGTTTTGAGTCTCCTCAAAGGAGACCATGTTACTTCTTCAGAGGGCCATTGCATAGCACAAGATGGCTCAATTAGGGAAGGAGCCTTATGCAT